CCTGACATCTATTTCCACGTCATAATTCATAAAAAATCGAAGTGGAAAATTTATTTTATGACGGTTGTGGGAAATGTTGTGACGTAGTAGGTGTCAATAACGTCGTCTATTATGATTGTAAAGACGTCGTATTTATATTTGTCATCTGTTTCCTTTTTAACGACGTTTTTTTTGTTGGAGTTGGTCGTCTATTCTCATCATCGACTGTTTTTTTATGTCTTTTTGCAGCACAAAGACGTCGGTTTTTATTTTTTGATGACGTTTTTTGTTTTAACAACGACGGTTATTCACCGTCGTGGTTTTGTTATGGAAAAGATGTCGGTGGATTCCACGACCATTTGAAAACAGAATACACGACGGTGAATTCCCGTCGTGGTTTTCCTTTTTTGTAGTAGTGCCCCTTGCAGCTTTCATTGATGAACTCACATTTTAAACAAGTGGATGAGTATTTAAATTCTAGCCGCCTTTCATGGTCTAGCACTCGGGGTTTTATACTCTTCTGTCAGAAAAGTGTGCATAACACGGGATTGTTGAACAAAAGATTTAAGACCAAGCCAGAGCAAATAAGTGGCAGCACAAATCGAACGAAAATCCGGTTTAGCAACAGAAAAAAGGGGACTTAATGAGGCATAGCAGCAAGTACCAACCAAAACAGCTGTTTTAATAAGTAGTAGCAAATCAAATGAAGTGTACACTCATCAGGGAGAGTGAATCTGCATCAGAAATTGGACAGAAATTTGAGTGATTGCATAGTTCTGTCATTATAAACTTGAAATTTTGAAATGGTTAACTGCAATTAAGGGACTTTAAAAATAGAAAAATAGTTAAGTGAGCAAATCTTCCACCATCCCGGAATTAGGCCAAGCAATAAAAGGACAAATACTCCCAAAGTTACTGCAAATCTTCGTGAATTTATTTATCTCCAGTGCAGAAGCTGAGTCTAGATTATTGAAATAAGTCATTAGTCATCTGATCTAAATTCTAGTAGCTTAATTAGGATTAGGTCGCCACTACCGGCGTCCCCACCTTGTTAGAGCTAATAAAGCTTAGAGCTAATAAAGCACAAAGAAATGAGGGCAAACAAAAGTAAACACAACTTAGTACGAACAAAAGTAAACAAAAAACCAGGACAGAAAATTTGAATCACTTTGAAAAATTCCGTGTTGATAAACTTGAAACGAATAGTTTCAAGTAAGGGACTTTACAATTCAAAAGAATACAACAACAAAGAACCTAACACATTTGTACTGAGTTTATCACATCAAACAAGAGCAGCAAGTATCTCAAAACTGGGTGGTGGCAGAATTCTGCGAACAATGGCAGAGCTTGCGTGACAATCTGCACTTGGTTTGGAGTCATCTGCATAGCCTGAAGATGATCAAACCACCTTCCCCTTTGTATGACGAGCTGCTTTCGATGGCTTTGGCCGTACAACGAATGGATGAAGGAAGAGCTTTTCAGCGGTCAGCCTTTCGCAAGACCTCGTGGCAAGGCAACTTTTAAGAAAATCCCTGGCCACACCTGAGATTTCAGCAGGGATTTTGGGAGTACATACGTGATCAAACATATAGTGGAAAACTTCGAGTTCACAACCAGGCTTTAAATCTGAGAAGGACTTGCCGGTTGGCATCTCAAGTACGATACAACCAAGAGACCATATATCAGAGGGCGGCTCCTGCTCACTATCATTCAAGGCTTCTGAGGACAGATACGTAGGAGTGCCTCTCCATTGACCGTAATTCTCCTTGGTTTTCTTAGCCAATCCAAAATCTGAAATCTTGACCACAAAACTACCAGTACTAGTTGCAGGATTTGGTACAAACAGAATGTTTTCCGGCTTCAAATCACAGTGAACATAATCAAACTTGTGAATATGCTTAATCCCTTCAAGTATCGACCTCGTATACCTTTTAACTTCAGCTTCAGGCAATCCATGACCGTTGGATTTCTCAATCAGATCACCAAGAGTTCCTCCAGACACAAATTCCAGCAACAAGTTATAGACCATGTGATCACCACCCTCTTCACTGGTTGTGATTTCTTCACCAAAGCCCTCAATGATAAAAGGGCAACCCTAAATATCCAACAGAACCTCTGCCTCATGCCGGATTGACTCCGAATCAGAGTCCTCTGCCGATTTCACCGCCATCAATCCTGGAAAGTTTAGCATGCTACCAAACTCACCCTTCTTGGGTTTTTGGGAGTGGCAAGAAAAACAGAACCAGAGCTTCCTTCTCCAACCATCTCCCCTCTCAGCCAGTGCTCTCCATGACTCCAGATCCTCTGTTTTTTTTCTTCTTCAAATTCTTCTTGTTCGGACTTTCTTTTCATGGTTCCTTTTCCTTCACAGAAACTTAGCAAATGTTAATTTGTTTGGTGAATTGTAAGGGTATTCGTTTGGAGAATCAGCAGTGCTTATATAGGATAGGGCACATGAATGTGTCGGTTTAGGGTTTGAGGAGAAGTAGGGAGTCCTAGTGTGTTTTCTTTCCAACGGTCAAGTTTTATTTGATTTTTTTGAATTGAGACGTGAACGCCAAGCAAACTCGTTGCGAAATTACTAATTTACAGCCAGGTAAGAAAGAGAACGGAAAAATTGGAAACTTATTAACCAAGGAAAGAGTAAAGCCGGTGGATACTTATCTACCAATAATTCATTATTGTTACAAACCGAACAGTTACTTTTTGGGGCTTTATCACATAAGGACAAATAAAAGGGCACCAAGACAAAATGGTCCAGTCCCTCAAACAACTCTAGGGTGACTGTCTGACAGTGACATAAAAGTTCTTTCATGTAATTGTTGGACAGTAACTGGACCAATTTGTCTAATTTGGAGGAGCTGGACTATTTTAACATTTTGTCTTATATGAAAAACTTTTTTTTGTTTCATCATTTTCTATTACTTTTTAGTTTCTGGAAAGTTCATTGATTAATAAGAAAACCTGTTATTTTTCGGTAAATTACGGTTTAAAGCATGTTGCCTAGATTTTCTTTTAAAAAAATAATCTAAATTGGAATAGGAAATCAGATTGATTTTGTTGTCTATTGTGTAATTGAAGTGGAGGTTTGTAGCTTCAATTAATAGTTTAGATAATTCAACCCACATAAGTCTTAAGTTCAAATTCTCTTCTCCAAAGTCATCCGAGTAATATATTTGATGAACTTTAAGGCTCATTTGGTACGTCAGATTGTATTGATTAATTTCTATCATATAATATTAATTTATTTATAAGGTGTTTGATGCTGTTTCAGATATTCTAACTAAGTTATATTGTGTTTAGTGCTCCGTCGGATAACATCGGATCGGACTAATTTTTTTAAATGCTTTGATAATTTAAGTGAAAAATAAAATTCATGTGACATAATTTTTTTTTACAAATTTATAAATAAACCAAATCCTAGACATGTATTTATAAAAAAAAACCCAAACACTATTTAAACATAGAAACACACCCAAAATCAACAATTGTATATTTTTTGGGTGTGTTTATAAAGTGTTTTGGGTGTTGGGTTTTTTTATAATTTCAGCCCCCATTTTGAGTGTTTTAGTGAAACTCCCATTTTTTTTTTGGCAAGATTTGCTAAAATATGAATATGGTTTGAATGTATTAGGTTGAGTTTTACTCTTCTCCATAAGAAGATATATATAAGAGTTTACACGAGGGTCTTACAAGGAATTAGATACAATAAAGAATTAGGAAAGTATCTCGTAATTGTACAATGGTTTATCATTTATATAAAAAATAGGAAAGTAAATCCCTTAATTAATCAAGGAAGTAAATCTCCTTGATTAATTAGGAGATTCACGTCAATACTCCTCCTCAAGTTAGTGCATATATGTCACCAATGCCCAACTTGGTAAGTGAGTCATGAAATACTCTTCCACAAACAACTTTGGTTAATATATCTGCCAGTTGATCTTCTGATTTTACGAATGGTAGGCGAATGATCTTTTTCTCAATTTTGATTAAAAAATGTGTCTGGTATAAAACTGCAGAAAAAATATGGTTAGCTTTAAATTTATAGGTCTCAAATTCTCACGCTTCTCTAGATCAATGTCAGAAAAAACATGTGGTGGGTTTTTGGTTGAGAGATCAAAGAAGGATAGAGCAGTTGGAGAACGTGAAGGGTTTTTTCATGGAGGATGGGTTCAACTCTTCAACTAATTATGATGTGTTTGTGTCCAAGAAAGGTTCAACTAATTGTCTTCTTTACCTGGTACAGACAATTGTCTCAAGAAAGGTTCAACTAATATTGGAAGTAAGCTTTTTGTGACCAAGAAAGGTTTGACTGGAAATTATACGCAAAGGTCCAAGTCCCCGCCTCCCCCGCCCAAAGCAGCACCAACACCAAAGCAGACACCAACAATCACTGATATACTCGAGAAATCTCCGAGCACTCGATACATATCTTCAGCCTGAGGGAGAGAGTGGACAATGGAATAATAGAATCAGTGTAAATGTGTGATATAAACTATTGTCTTTTGAATTTCCAAGTTTCTGTCGAGAGTTCAGAGAACACACAGGCAATGTGCAAGAGTCAACACCAACATTAATTAGTCTTCCAAGTTGATCATCAGTACGTAATTTCAATTTCAAGGTGTGTTTAATTAGCTTGAGGTCTTGTTTGTGCTGCAGCCATGTTTAATAAAGTTAATTCATAGCGTATGTATATATGCACATGTCACTACGTTCATACCAGTATTAGTGTCCTTTCACAGGGACATGACATTGACTATATTAATATTATATTAAGCCCAATTATTTACTCTAAAACTCTTAAAAAGAAAACTTAATAAGGAACCAATTATTTTTTTTTTTAAGTTAAACCAGTTAATAAAAGTAACTTGGTAGATGGGTCAAATTTGTTCAGCTTCATCTCATTGTGATGTGTGTGTGATATGAATAAACTACCATGTTCGATAAAAACAAAAGACGAAGTATTAGGTACTTTTCACAGGGACATGACATTGATACATCTGATCAACTTTTGTACGTAGTATTTCTAGTCTCTTTTTCAGTATACTAAGAGCACTTTTAGCAGTTTGTCCTTTGCCATGACAAGGGGGAGTTAGGGCAGCCACTAGTTATGTGAATAGTGGCTGCCCTTACAAAAAGCAATGTGTGTTTCCACTAGTTGCCATGTCAAAGGGCAAATACTATTCATTTTTTTTGTTTTTTTCGCATTTTTTTTACCTAAACAATTAATTTGGATAATATTTTCGGTTTAAATTTTTGGGTTCGTACATGCCAATCCTTATTATAAAATTCATATATCATGATTGGAAATTTTTTTCGGATAAATAAAACTTGAAAGTGAACAAAATATTAAATAGAAAGTGAACAATAGTTGAAGGAGACGAAAATGTATGAGGATTTGGTATTAAAAGTGAAAAGTATTGGTTGGTATTTATAGAAAAAAATTCATTAATTTAGGGGTTTTTTTTTAATTATTTTTATTGCACAAAAATTCGCTATACTTGGATTGGAGGAAAAAATCCGATCGGAGAACCCAGACGACGCCACGTGGCTTCTGGCTATGGGCGGCACTGTAGCCCGCTGACGTCATCCAAAACTCGGGCCAGCCTAGTCTATTGGGGTCCACCTGTTGCCCTGGCCAGCCTCTGTTGCTTGAATCGCTTTTTTGGCCCAAACACCCCCCAGGTCCGCGCCCCAACCTTGCTGCCGGAATTGCTCTAAGGTTGACATGTGATAAGATCCTACAAGTCTTAGGAACGCCCTGACTGCTAAGTTTACCTACTACAATTCAGTTAGATCATGTTCAGCGCTGGAGGTTGGCCCAGGCAAAAAGGGGCCTGAGCCCCAAATAGCGATTCCAGCATGCAAACAGTGGGTCTCGACAAATCGAGCAAGCCCACAGGCAAATCCAACCCGTGTTGTTGCCTGGGCAGTGATGTAATGCTGATGCCAGCAGTTAATTTAAAGAATAAAAAAAGAAAAAAAAAACCAAAAAATTTAGAATACTTTTTTTTTTCTTTAATTTGCAAGGGCTGACACTATTCATATGAATAGTAATAGTCATTGCCTTGTCCTAGCCATTTGCCGCGACAAATGGGTGGAAGTAATCTTAGTGTACTATACATTTACATTTGTCATATATTCTTTGAAACCAAAAAACATGCAATAATTGTATGTATTCTTCTGTTAAAATGTATATGCTATAATATTAGGTTCCAAAATGACGAATTTTTAATTATTAAGGGCATTGTTATTTGTATAATCTTTACTGACCACCTTATTGACTATCTCTCTAATATATGTGAGTCCCATATATATACTCGTGGAGCCTACCTTTATTAGAGAGGTTAAAGTGGTCTATAAAGGTGGTACAAATAGCATTATTGAACTATTAAGCCTATCTGTCGACAAATATATTTCTATTCTGTTTGTGTACAAATTTGTATGTGCGTGTGTAATTGCTCAATCTTGAAAGAGGATGGTGATGTCATTTTATTTTGTGGGAGATTCGAGCTTCTCGAAATTGGCAGTTTGCAGTAGGATCTGCAGTGATGAGAACTAAGTTTAGGAAACACATTAATTACTTCATAACTCCCCAATTATTATTCCTTGTAAGCTTTGATGTGATATGATCCTGCAAGTCTTACGACCGCCCTTGACTTCTAAGTACACCAACTACCAGCATCGTGATTCCTATACCTAATACAAATAAGTTAGTACTTAGTACATAAATTGGTCTATAAATAACTTCATTTCAATTCGATTCCATGAATTCTAGCCAGCTAGGGACACATATATATGCTTCAATGATGAGAGGCACGTTCATAATAATCCTTATGTTTGCTGTGGGAACTTGGATCAGTTCTGCTCATGCAAGGGCTTTGATAGGTAAATTGTCATATACGATTTGATGCCAAAAAACATGCAATAATTGTATGTGTTCTTCTGTTAAATATATATTTTGTGATATTTTAACTATTTCCCGTGGAATGACAGATTTAAAACTTAAAAACATGCACGTTGCCAAGAATAAAATCAAAAAGTCGTAAAAATTGATTAAAACTGTTGTGAGTCGAAGCAAATGTTGAAAATAACAGGCGGGTGTAAGGGCGTCTACATCCAGAAAAATAAAAATTAAAGAACATTCCGTTTACACTGGCAATCTATATTTATCTAGAAACCATAAACTAAAATTATCTACTGATCTGCATTTACATGTGTGCATGTTGCAGGAACTAATCCAAGGGATCAATCCATGAGGATAATCATGTTTGGAAGGTCCTCAACCTCTGCTGCTCCTTCGCTTCCACACAAATCGCGGCCACCTCTACATTTTGGTCGTACACCTACAGACGCAGGATGTCCACCTAGGCCACCACTACATTTTGGTCCTACACCTCCAGACGCAGGACGTCCACCTAAACCGTCTCCTGGGCCACCGAAATACCATGGTATTGTAACTGGTGGTGGTAGTCTGCGAGTGTCCAATGTGGCTTCATTTTGAACATCAAAATCAAGCCGTTCATAGATGATGAGGGTGGGCCGTACACCTTCTATTATGTATTTGCTGCTTTAATTAGAATAAGGACTAAGCTCTTTCATAATTAACTTTAATTAGAATCTTGTGTAGCTTAATCATCCAGTGTCACTTTGAATGCTAAAGCCATTCATGAACATGTCCCCGTTCCAAGATCAGTTTCCTTCTTCCTCATATGGAATATTCTTTTTGTTAACCAAGACTTAGTGTAAATTACTCAAATGGTCCTCAAACTTGTACTCGATTTATATTTTGGTCCCTAAATTAAATTATTAGTCCAAATGATACATAAACTCTATTTTAATCGCCCATTTGATCCAACCGTTACATTCGATCAATGTTGATGTTAAATATGAGGGCAAATTGGTCATTTCGTACGTTAAAAATAAATAAATACTAAAAAAAAAATAAAAACTCCCTCCCTCAAGCTCCAACCCCAAAACCATCCCACAACCACTCTCCACCCAAACCCATCTAACAACCACCCTCCATCCCAGGCCATTAATGTGAAAATGCTGCAGATAGACAAAACAGACCCATAAAAGGCAAAAAGCTCCAGAAGACAACTTAAAGACTGGTCCAAAAATGTATGAAGATACAGTAGGCTGCAACTTTGACCAAAACTCCATGCCAGAATCAGCAGAAAGTGTCCGCCACCTCCACCACAAGTTGTCATGCCTTCTCCCTCAGAAACCCACAACAACAACAACAACACCTTTATTGCTGTTGCAGAAAACTTGAGACTCTCCATGGAAGAGCTCTCCTACCCTCATCAACAAGATCATCATGCTACCATGGAAATTGAGCTCCAAAATGAACTTGGGTTCAATCCATACAGCACCAATACTGACCAGAACAACAACAGCAGCCATTTGGTATCCTTTGAGCAACAAACCAATTGGGACAATATTCATGGTGTCCATGATCAGATGCAGCAACAATTGCAAGATGGTCACCCTACACCTACACCTAACCTTCTCAACCTTTTCAGCTTACCTAGATGCTCACCCTCCTCTGTTCTCCAAAACTCGTCCATTACCTTCACAAACCCCAACCCGAAAAGCTCGAATTTTCCGAACTCTTTGGGGTTCCTCGGAGATGTCCATGGTGGGATTGACACCCACTACAAAAAAAAAGGGTCATTACCGACCAACATTCTCCGAGGGCCCCGAAATTTCCTCAGTAAAAGTGTTTTTTCCGACCAAAAAATACTGTCCGTTGGAAATATGTCACGAGCCTGAAATTTATTTCCGACAAAGGAAATACCCTCGGAAAAAGTCTCAATTGTCGTCGAAAATGTAATTTATTTGGTGGGAAGACTTGGCGCCAACTTTATTAACGACCAAAAGTATGTTTGACGGAAATAGGATGATTATTTCCGAGGGCTTTCTCTTTCCGTCGGAACTGTTTGACTATTTCCGAGGGGCTTCTTATTCCGTCGAAATTGCTTGAACATTTCCGAGGGGTTCTCCTTTCGTCTAAATTGTTTGACTACTTTCGAGGAGAAATATGTCCTCTCGGAAAAATGTTTGAATGTCAATTTCCCATTATAATAAATTAAAAAAAATTTGATTGATAATATTGTTAGCTAGGGAAGAAAACAGATTTTTTTCAAGAGAAGTTGGTTATCATGTAGACCCAACAAACCCAATGCCAATATATATGGTAGCTGGTGGGGGCTGTGTTCCATGGGGGGTTGGTACAGTTTCATTCGCAAGTCTCTACACAAAACAAAACAAAGGCATTATCTGCATATGAAATGAAACCCAAATTAAAAATCAAAATGATATGAAAATTATAATTTGATGCACAAACCAAAGCTCTCTGTAGTGATATGCAGTTCTTATTTGAACCTATCAACTTTTTGGCCCCTCCCCCACAAAAAAGAAGAGCCTAGCTAGCTGTGAATTTCCCATTAGAATAAGTAAAAAAAAAAATATATTGATAATAACCAATCACACTCCAAAATAAATAACTAAAAATAGCCAATCCAAAAAAAATAAGCAATCACAATTACATGGCAACTCATCCCATAGTTGTAAGTTGAACACATCGATCCCTTCTTCAATCAATTTCATTGTCTTCAACATCATTTTGGATGGCATGCATGCTTTGAATTTGAGTCTTTACTTCTTGGTATGGCTCAATCTCATCATTAGTCGTCTCATAAGTATTTCTTGGATTTGTTTCCACGACAAAACTCTAAATTTTATTTTTAACCCCCTTCACATAAAAAACTTGGGTCGCTTGGCTTGCTAGTACGAATGGCTCTTGAGTATTTAGCTTGCATGTTGTATTAACAGTGATTATTCCATAACGATCTATCTTGTAACCTGTTCCTTTTCGTGCCGTGTCATACCAATCACAATTGAACAATACAACTCTATTTCCTTCTGTGTAACGGAGCTCAACAATATCTACTAAGGTTCCATACCAAGGCACATCGTCAATCTGATTCTCCCCCTTAACCATAACTCCACTATTTTGTGTTTTTTTATTCTCATCACGCTGCAATGTATGAAATCTAAAACCACTAATATAATAACCAGGATAATAAGTTACTCGCCTTTCAGGACCTCGAGCCAAAGAAAGCATTTGCTTACTAACTTTACCATCGTTGTATAGTTCTATGACTTGCATAGAAAGGAAAAAATGGTTTTAAATAAACATATGTAATAGTCAATAGTTTTTCCAATACAATATTATCCATACCCTTTTAGAAATCCAGTTTGAAAATT